CAAATATAAACTGTTAATTAAGTTACTATATGGTACTTAGTCCTTGTTAAACCGAAATTAATATATAAAAATTGAAGTCAGTCATACACAAGAGTGTAGTTTGTTCGGTAATGTGCTTAGATTCGGAAACATTCGCATTTAATCCAAGTTTTATTCTCCTTAATTATTCGCTTTAAAAATGGTTTGATGTTATTATGTTTCAGCAGCATTTCACTGTTGGCAATTTAGTTAGTCAAATTTATTTCCTAAATATCGAGAGTCTTTTCGTAACCTGCTCTTTTTAAAATATTCTAAACTGTCACGTGGTTGCTGTTTAGTGCTTCCGCTATCTGCTGACAACTAGCATGTAGGTCTTGTGCCACCAGTTGCAGAATTTATGGACTTATTTATTGATTTCCAAAATGAAATCACGCAAACCGGGTCTGACGTTCACTCACAGCATCCTCACCAAAAACCACACAAAATTTTTTCCATAATTTGGCAACGGTCTTACATTTTTTATGATAATGTCGCCTGATATGTCAACTTTTAAACACATGTTTGTTTGACATAATCAGATTAGTGTTGTCAGATATATTTTCACCAACATCATCTAACGACAAAAAACATCAGATTCATCTTATATTACCCAATAAAATTAAATTGAAAATCGGATAAATAGTGTTTTATTCGATTTGTTAAACCCTCCACCAAGGATATTTAGTTAGAATAAAGTTTTCAAGAACACAAACAGAAACTAAAAAAAATAGTAAACTACAAAAAACAGAAGGCGGTTATGACAAGATGGATGAAGACATCTAACAAATGCGGAGGAGATAGAAATTAAGAGATAGAATTTTTTGGAATGAAAAACATCTTGGCATATTGTAGCAAATATTCTTATTCAGAAGATCAAATCTCAAAGATGTACAGCCAAATTTTGTTAAGAAATCATTATTAATAAAATACGGCTCTTCTACTAAATCAACAACGATTACAAAGTAATCTAAAGTTCTAACTCTGCGAAACTCTTCCTGGTATTAATTCTTGTTATTTCTTTAAGTTTTTTTGTCTTTTATAATTTTAAATACTATTTATTTTTTGACATCTAACAACGTCATAAGCTAAGCTAATGAGCAACGTGCTCGCATGCAAATGTCTCTTACGTTTTTCATAACACTAATAAACAATATAGGATTACGTACGCCGGCAATTAGTGCATGACTTCACAATTCTCCTGCCACACCGTCGCCGCATTAAGTAGCTACTGCAAAAACGAAAGAAGTACTTTTTTGTATAGAAAAATGCAATAAGGTCGCTACAAGATACGAGTACAATGAATACGTACCATAAGCAATGTATACAAAACCATATACACATGCACGTACAACACATACGAGTATACAAATGTATAGAAACATTGTTGCAGCTGCAAACTCTGCAACATGACTTTGAATCTGTGACATGTTTTTCCAAGTGCAGATCCTCTTATTTAATTATGTCGCGTGAGCTTTTCTTTATATTACGAACACAAATAATTTAGCGAAAGCCCCAACGAAATCGGTCAACTAGCAATGGGGAAAAAATAAGGTAATCCATGTAAAGGTAGCAGGGAGGAGTTAATTTTATGGTATGCATGTAAATGTCTGAAGTCTTTCAAATTTATTTAAAGTGTTTTTTAATTGATGTTAAAAAAAATGTTTTGTTTACTTAATTGCTCTTTGTAAGAGTATCGCTTTGTACGGTCTGTATGTTTACTGTAAAGTGCATGCCTGCACATATTTATGCATGCATATCATGTTGCCACTTGTATACTCCAAGTTAGCAACCAACGAAGTCTCAACTTAAAAAAAAACTTATTTATAAAAGGAAGTAAAAGAATATAATTTAAACATTGTGAATGTGTCACTTAAATCTGTTAAATGTGCAGCTTAAGAACCGAGCCATGAAATTAATACCATTTAAAGACGCTTCAATGTAGACTTTTTCTTTCTGAAATCATTTATGTTCATTTATTTTGCAATTTATTTCAGTTATTCGTTCTTTTTCTACTATTGGGAGGTGTGCATCTAACTGTGATTATGAGATATACCACACACATTGCGTCCACTCAAAATACTTTAAAATATTTGATTATTTTAGAATAAATATTTACAACTACCACTTCAGGATTACTTTGATTCTATAAGTCGTAGTAAATAGTTCTCCATTTCGTGGTACTGATTTAGTAGTACGGTTACATATTTAAGGGATACTATCATTCAGTACATTATATGATTAGTTGAAGGTTTGTCATTTGATAATATGGATAAACCTTCGTTAAACTTTTACATTTTGAAAACTTGCTACAAAAATTGTGATGCAGTAGTAGGTCCAATTCGTGTATTACGAGAAGATTGTGGTCAACAAAATCGTACATTCAAATGCACTATAGCTTAAAATTCGAATAATGTTTGAAAAAACTGGATTTATAACAAATATATTAAGACCTAGATATCAATGGAATGTATGCTTTGCTGAAAATATTGCTGCTGTCAGTGAAACTGTTAAAGAAGATCCCATTTTATTCATTACATGTAGCATACAGTATTTTGGCCTATCTTACGGTACATTATTCTGTATTTTGCATTAGAATATGAACCCATATCCTTATAAAATTCAGTTAATATAAAAACTAAACTTGGCTGAATATCCAATGTGTGGAATGTACGTTGATTGGTTGTTTGAACAACAGTAATCGGATGATTATTTTCGGCAACGAATATTTTTGAGTGGTAAAACCTAATTTTCGATTTTAAAAATCTAGAAGTAACTGTTAAAAAACATTAAATCCAGTAAGTCTATGTAAATGTGTTGGGCATATACCTTATGTAAATATGACAAAGGCTTGATATAAGTTAAATATGCTGTCAAAACCATATGGTTTTCTTTTATCCCTGTTGGTTGAGAAATTTGCCGAAGTGAAGTTTCATGTTTGAGAGATATGAACTTGTCACCGAAATTATGCGATTTGTTACCACGGGATCTTGGTACGCAAAGGATCGGGTTTATATGGACAATTTTTCAGTTATTCACGCTTTCAATACAAATATCCGTTAAGTTGTGAGTGAACTGTGGCCAGCTATATACTTATGATACATCGAAAATTACCTCAAGAGGATTTAGTACTGTGAAGTATTCTATAAAGGACATTAGTTTCTGAATCGTAAAATTGATAACCGTTTATGAAAAATAAAGAGTTGAAGTATATACCGTGGCTTTTTTGGTTTCATCTAAGTCAACGCAATCAGAAGGTGTTATTAAACAACATTCCACTAAATACTTTTTAAATTTGTTTTTATTTTGCAGTTTTATTGGTTATTTAATTTCAAGAAATTAAATGTTAGAGATAATATAATGAAATAAAATAAATTTTTTGTTAATTAATAATCGCTGTAGCAAAGAATTAAAAGCAGTGTTATAGTTCAACATACTTACCGTGCCAATAATTATGCTCGTTACTATATATATTTCACTATACTCATATATAACTATAAATTATTTTACTACGATAATACTGTTCTGTACTTCCTACATTTAAGTCTTAAAAAAATTAATTCATTATATACTATTTATAAATATGTGCATAAATGTAATTTAATTCGTATTGTTTTTTAATATTACATAATTTTTATTGAGAGGTACTATTTTAAGTAATTTATAAATGTCTTTATATTTCGTAAAGTTGAATTAATTGTGCCGTAAGAACAACTGTATGTTCCAATTCTGCCTTAGAAAAACAATACATTTGACTATTTGTGTTAAAGTACAAGCAGAAAGAGAAGAAAGAATCATTTTAAGTTCTGATTTTCGGTGTTAACAAAGGTTTCTCCTTATATATAATAGTTAGCGATCGGATTGAACTTAGCTGTTTTGCTTTGTTTGTATTTTCTACGTTCTATCTATAACTACTTCAACGTTAAATCGAATTATATATACTAGTACGCCAAAGTGTTCGAGTTACCCAAGTACACTGTTCATTTCCACTCTATTGTGCAGTAATTCGATTTCATAGATCATGAAATTACTTTTAATGGATTAAAAAACAGTTTAGTATAATTTATGTTTTATGTTATGGCTACCAGCCGAACTTTTTTAAATTTTATTTTCTTTTTTTTTTTTGGCAATTTTAGTGAATATCGCATGAGCAATAATTATTAAATAATTTATATAGCTTATTTTTTTATGCATAATTATGACGCCAAGTGTTATTTCCTCTTCCGACTACATTCTTTGCATTTTCACTGCAATTTACTTTAATTAACTTTAAAGAACACTTAAGTTTTTTTAAAAAAAAAAATTAATTTGCCAAAAAAATTTTAGCAGACAAGTGCACGTGATAAAGTTTTAATGTTAAATAAATAAAATAAAATTATAAATAAATTATAATAAAATAAATTTTGCACTTATAAACAAAAAAAAGTTTTCTTTAGTACGCAATAAAGTGCGTGTTGCTTAAAAATGCACTGAAGTGTGTGCTAAATATTATCTTAAAAAATAGTCTTCATTTAGTTTTAACACAAAAATGTACTTTTTTATTTTTAAATAAATTACAAAATTTAAATATGTTGCGCTTAATGAATGTTATAAATACTTTTTCTGAAATGTACATGGTATATATATTTATGCGAGTATATAGGTTAAATATTTCACGTTTGTGCAAGGCGCAGTGTTAGCCGCGGACTTGGCTACAAAAGTGAGAAAATTCACTGAAAGCAGAAATTTTGGCTAAGATACTTCGATGCGGCTAATTGTTTGTTTATAATAAAAAAAAAATAAATGAATTTATTTTATTCAGAAAATACTTATTTATTAATAGAGAAGTAATTAGAACAATATTAAACAAATAATTCATTTTTACTCTGTTTAACAAATTTTATTTTATTTTTAAACTATTTTGAGAATTGTATATGTTATTTCTAGAGCGTATAAAGAAAATGATTCAAATTTGATTATTTTATATTTCAGTGTGATTATACATAACAAATTTTAGAAGATATTTTCATTAAATGTGTATAAAATGCCAGAAGCTTGTTTTGAAACTGACAATTCTTCGAATTCTTCCAATACAAATAAGATTACAATGTTTTCATACGAAGGCTTAGCAAACAAAGGACCAAGTAATTGGCACAGGTGAAGAGATATTTTATAATCCTTTTAAAACAATTAAAATGCATGTTTTTTCTAAATAAATATTCTAATATTTTACTTAACTGCATGTTTCCCTGTTTTTATGATTTCTTTATGATGAGCGCTGATGAAGAAGTACTGCAGCACAGCCTACTGCTTGCTTCGTATAGCTTCTAACAAAAAAAGTTGCATAATTTTAGGCTTTAGCGTTGAAAAAGCTTTTATTTTTTATTGAAAGTAGTACAGAAGTATAGCCCTATATTACCTACATAGATAGAATGGCATTAATCTATTTACAGTGTTAAAAAAAGTTTAACGATTAAATTTAATATAATTCAATTAAATAAACATGATTTTATTATTTTTATATATGTTTTACTCGTTTCAGTAACAATAATTCCGCAGAAGTTTGTTGCTTCTCATTAGATCCAGAACAGCAACGTAGAGCAGTACCAGTAGATGTCAGTGATATTAATTTCATAAACGGTAACGAGAATACCTCTGGAACAACAACCAAACGAAATTTTTGCTGTTGTTTGAATGAAGCCACTGACTTGGATTCATGTTGGAAATTAAAGAGACGACAAATTATTTTGGAGAGTTCAAACGCTTCAGGTATTTAAATATATTAACAAACTGTAAATTAGTGTTATTTAAATTTTCAGTGCACTTGAATTAAATTTCAATACTTTAATACACTTTTAAATATTCAGATTTGAAAGTCCTTTTTACTAAGATGCATAAAGGTTATATTTAGTAAATCAAGGAATATATGGATAGGTAATACGCAAATGACAAATACGAATCAATATACGTATCATATGTTGAAATAATAATAGCTTGCTCAAAATTAAAAAGTTGCCCACTGGTAGATTACAGCTGACGGCAGCACTGTTGCATTTGGAGTAACTGCGCGAGAAATTCAAAAAGTCACTGACTTATCAAACCATCCTCGTAGTATATCTATAAAATTCAACTAATATGTAATCTAACAATTTCAAAGTAAATTATAAAAGTTATATAGATTTGCCTAATAATTATCTAAAATTAAGTTATAGATACTTATATTAATTGTGCATGAAAATGTTTTTCTTTTGGCAATAGTAAGTTATTGCTACCCATATTAGTTTTATGTAAACAAAAGTGAAGTACAGTATAGTACAGTATAGTTAGATTAAATAACACTACTGGAGCATGACCATTGACTATCACTGCTAATCAAATCATCACAAAATATAGTGTGGCACATATGTGGCTATTCTAATATCTAAATTTTCGTGAGACACTTACATAAACTGTATCATTTTTTACGGTTTGCCAAAAACAAAAATTAAAAAATTTTTTTTAATTGTGAAGACTATATTTAAAAGTTTGAATTTAAAAGTATTCAAAAGACTTAAGTTATTTTTTCGAAAAAAGAAAAGCTCGTTTTTAAATGTTGCTGAATTTGTATTATTTTACTGCTTAACCTGCTTAATCCAAACCACTTCAGATGAGGCAGAAAATTTTCAAACTATCGCCATACCGTTTTGCAGTGGTGCCAGTTACATTATCACATACTATAGTTTATGGAATGAACACATTGTAGAGGTTAGTGGACTTAACAATAGCCGGTCGTAGTTGTCCATACAAATATATGTTAGCACTATTACAATCTCACTATTTTATGATCAAAAAACTTTTTCAAAAAACATGCAAATACTCATATTCTCGTTAATAATAAATTTGGGTATTATTAGACGAAACGTGGAAGCAATGTTGCCACCAGTTTAAAAAAATTTTTAGTTATTCCTGTGTTGTGCTTTCCTAATTGTAAAATTAAAATAATAACAAGGTATTTATATAACAAGATTTACAGAAAAGGATTTGTAGATTAAGCTTATAATTGTTTTTTTATTGAGTAAATTTAGGAATAGTTTTTGGGTTATGTGGCAGATATATTGCCTTGATGAAAAAAGATCATCAAGCCAGTTTTTCTTTTATAAATTGGGTGTTTCTCCACTAACTTTTATGCAGTACGTTGAATAAGCTGTAAAAATAATCTAAATTTATTATTAAATCCCAAATTAATCAGTTAAACATCGATGACATTTGGTTCCAACAAGACGATCTTGACAATTTGCCATACAGATCAGTTTACCATCGATTTATTGCGAAATCAATTTGGTAACAACTTTGTTTCCAAAAGTACTTCTATTAACTGACCCATTCATTCGTGCGATTTAGTGCCTGTCGATTACTTTCTATGAGGCTTTGGTTTATGCCGATAAACCAGCAACTCTTGAAGGGTGTAAAGCCAATGTTCAGGTCACCATTGACGATTGACGCCTGATCTATTGCAAAAATTAGTCAAAAATTGTACTGATCGAATGGTCCATGTAACTCGTAGCCGCACGGATATATGATGGAAATCATATTCAAAAAATAAGTGCCATGAAATTATTTACCAGATTATAATAAAAAAAGTTTCATTCGAATAATAGTTCTGTTTTGTATTATATGGTAATCTTAAGTTCTCATGCAGCTAAAGAAACACCCTAATATAATTATTTCTACGTAATAATATGACTCAACTTACCTGGCGATTTATTTAATTTGTTTGAAATTTTGCTTAAAAGATAATTTATGGTTTCAGTAAATAAATAAAAGAATATTAACCATATGTTTTAACTGTCGTAAAAATAAATAATTTTGTTCGGATTATTGCTTTTGTATATATATTTTTCATGCTATGTAGGAGAAGGTTACGAAAATAGGCGCAGAGTATTACGAAAATGTAAAAAATATTTATTTTGATAATTTTATATATATTGTATATAAATATTTTTTATTGTTTTCTTTATTTTGATTTGTTATTCTTTTCATTAATTTTTCTTTTAATATTTTTAAGTTGGCACACATTTTCATGAAAAACGATTTGACAATTTTTTTATTTTGCTGGTGTTTATGTTTTTTGTATATTAAATTTAATTGCTAGCTAAATACAACATTTATAAATAATTTTACGAAATGTTTTTGTTTTATTTATTTTCATTTATTTTTTGTTTTTCTTATTTAATAACTTTTATTTTATGGTAATGATGATGAGTAAAAGATTTTACGATAACAATAACAAAAATGATACTTATGTTGCTAATGTTGCTTTTATGTATTGATTTCAGCTAAGAATAAAACGGACGATGTTGCAACAGCAACGTTAATACCAACAGCAGAAACAGTAGTAACAGAAAAAAGCACTTTACACTCAACAAATGCTAAAAAATCGTCAATATCATTATTGCCAACTCCACGAAGTCAAAGAAATCGTTGTAGTGATCAATATACAGTAGTCTCAGGTGGTAGAAATGAAAAACCAACAGGCAGTATTAGAGCACAAGTACACAAAATATCGACATCCTTGCCAGCGACACCTAATTTAAGTCATCTGCGACGACCACAACATTTGGCATACAAAAAACTATCACTGGAAAGTGACAATCGTAACAAACAGAGCTTACAAGAGTATTCCACTCCAAAATATCACCAACAACAGCAACAACAAATGTCAACAACAACAACCACAACAACTTTCCAAACCTATGCTAGCGTTTGCAGAAATGAGAATGTAAAACACCCAGAACATATGTTGCAAGCACAACATCTGATTGCTGATCAAGCAACAATTGCTGCGGAGTGTCTTGGTGCAAATTATAAGAACAGTGATGAAGCGCTCAATGCAATTGAGTTGAATACCGATTTAGTAGCAACAGACACAGGTATTGCAATTGCAACTGATAGTGAAATCATTTTCGCACATAATAACAATAACAACAATATCAGCAACACAAATCTATTAGCAACAAATGCAACACAAGCAACATCACAAACAAAACTAAGTTTGCCACATGCAAGTGGCCTGAAAAGCTCGCTCAATTTTTGCGAGCAGTGGTGCTGCGAACGTGGCAGTCCGAAGAGCAAGAATACTCACCAACAAAATATGCTCAAAAATATTGCTGATGAAAATTTAAATTTAGAGGATTGCTCCGAGCAATCTTATCGAGCATATACAGATTCAGTATCGAATTTTTCGTCGTACGGTTTCGTGTCTGATGAAGATGAAAATTTAAGTTCACGTCACGTAAATACATTTTTAGAAAATACATCCACTACACCAATAGCAACTATACCAACAACAAATATTGTGTATAATAACATAAAAGATAGTTCCACAAATGTGGCGTCCCATCTAACGCCAACATGTACATCAACACCGTTGCCTCTGTGTACCTTAGAACGAATAAAAAACGCTGACTGCGCGAATTCGTGTGGCAATTCTTCGCCCACTGTTTGTTGTTATACAAGTGACAAATTCCCTGTCAATGTTTCGGTCGGTACGCCACACACTAAGATACCTTCTTATAGTGCCACAATAATACATCATACTGGGCCACCTACTGCCCCGCTACCAATACCGCATGCGAAATATAAATACGAAGAAAAGAATTCGTTAGCATTGCAGCCGTCGGAAGTGCGAACATTTAATTACGAATCGGTTAATTCGTTCACATCCGGTGAATGTTTGTTGTCAACGTCGTTGCCAAGAAATTACGGTAGTGCCAATAATTGTGGTTACGGTATACATGGTAGGCAGTATGACGACGGTGATATTGTAAATAAAAATCTACGTTGGCGTTTACCACCACCGCCGGTACCGCCGAAACCTAAACACGATCATACGCCTTCGCAGGCAACGAATGAGTCGGCAACTGCGTATGCTAATTATGATCCATACGAATTCAAACGAAAATTAGAAAAGTTCGAAAAACATAATATACGTAACGAAAAATCGCCTAACATAAACCCCGAATTCGAAGTCAACAACTTCGAAAATACAAGTCCGTATTACGACCACTTAGTTACAAGCACCCATGAGCGCTCAGTTACGCCTGTTGATTGTGAGTTGTTGAGTTGTTTTGGTAATAGTAAGCACACGACAGCAACAGCACAAGCACCAGCCAACGCAACAGCGACAACAACAAAAACACATATACCAATACCAACGTCGACATCGGCAGCAACATTTTCGCAAAAGAATCAACAAAATATCGATATCTGCAACAGAAATAATAGCAACGTAACTGCAAAATACGTTGTTGCACGTAGTTTAAGTGAGAGCAGCTGTTCGACAGTCGCCGACAGTGCTGGGACTGCCAATGAAAAGTGTGCCAACAAAACACAAATACAACATTTATATCAACAGCAACAACAACAGCACGAGCAGCAGCAATTTGCTGGTGACGTTGATGTTGTTACTAAAAATAACAACAACAACAGCATTAATAAGCAGCACGAAAATAGTACCGCAACAGCACATTCGAGAAGTATTGCCAATAAAAATAATAATAAAATAAAGAAAATCCGGGAAACTAACAAGAATTATAATTGTAAAATAAAAGTGCGTCACACGAGTGTTAACGACTATAAATTGCCAGAAGAAAAACAACAGCAACAGCAACAACAACAACAACTGCAATCGCAACAGCAGAAACAAAGTGAGCGAGAATTACAAAATGTGCGAACCTACGCGAGTGAACAACAATTGCAGTATGTAAATAATTTAACAAATTCACCATTACCTAAACATACCCTACGCTATGATAATCACGGTCGACTTAAAGCCGCGCATATATCGCATTTGTCTACGTCGTTAAGTGAAACGCGTTTAAATCGTAAACAATCCGCGACTGTAAAAACTGAACCCATTAGCTTACCCCCCACAAAAATAAAGGTACTTAACAGCAGTGCGGTGAATAAACTCAATCCTAGTTTGTGTCGAAAGTTGAATTTTTTTAACGAAAATTTAGAATTAAAAAAATTAGGGAACAATTCACCACTTTCAGTAAATATTGAAAATAATTCAAATAACGAGAATATATCTAATGACAATGTTGATACCACGGAATATACGATCTCAACGAAACCGCTTGTTTCATCACTTCCAACATCACCTACAAAAACTCTATCTAATGCTAATGTGACAAGTGGTGAAAATATCAAAATTCACCAAAGTGATCTCGATTTAAGTTTTATTACAAATCAACAAACGGAACAACAACTTTTTAAATCCTTTAGTGATAATGAGAATTTCGTCCTGAAAAATAAATTAATAAATCAAGCTGATGAAACCGATCAAATACGTTGCTATAGTGATTTTTCGTTAAAATCGAATTATCCTAGTTCATCAGTTGGTAGTTTGCCTTGTAAGTGTGCTTGCAAGCAATTAAATTCACCAACATCACCAATTTCACCAACGTCACCAAAATCACTCACATCACCGACTCAGTCATTGACCTTGATTAATCAAAAAAACTCACACTCACTTCCCAGTGTCAGTGCAGATATTCAATGTCCTTTACATTGGCTTAGTAGTGAAACTATTGAAACACAATCATCCTATCAAAAATACTTAGACGATACGCAATCGAATTGCAGTGATCAAACGACAATTTTCCACATTGATAACGATTGTCGTTCCTCAGCTTCATCAGTACCATCAGTGCAATCTCTTGGTAATAATTTTTTACGTGGACCATTGATTTTGAAACGTGTACCAGCCATACAATCCTTTGGATACATACCATCTCATACCACTTCAGCAAGCAGTGCTAATGTGCGTAACTATAACGACAAGGAGGTGAGTAAATCTTATTACACAATTTTATTAAATGTGATTTAAAATGTTTAATTATACCCAATTTTAGAATCGAAAATAATTTATATTTAATATATAAAAATATTTTGAGCATGAGGAGTTATTGGAACTAAAATATTTTAGTCAAAAAAAAAATTCACACTTGTTTCTTGGAATGAGTTTTAATATGAGAGTCCTCGCTAGGTTGTACCTATTTTTTTTTTCTTCACATGAGAGGGTATGTACCATATATCTTCGTTTGTATGGATAAATAGTTTGAAAATAAAGGCTCAGCTATTGTTCAAAGCATTTATTCTCCAATTATTTATGATCAATTTCTATAGGCTCTAAAGCTCTGTAGATCTGTAGTTTAAGAGGGGGCGAAGCATTATAAAACATTCATCTCAGGAGAAGTTCAATTATTTCGAACTGTGGATTTTTTCATTTTTGGAGAATGACATTTGCAAAGAAATTGAACAGTTCTTTCTTTTTCCTTTTCCTCTCTGCATATCTGGTTGAATGATATATACAATTTTTCGGCATAAGTGGTGCCCAATGAACAATGGCTTATTAGTGCTACTACGAGTTTCGCTACTTCCATTTTCGCTTTGCTCAATATATCTTTCATACTTGATTTATTGTTATTGATTTATACTTTATTTATTCTTGTTTTTCACAGTACCCCGAAAACCATATTAATGATATTGTGCATTGGTATTTAGTTAAATTTTTGCTGGACTAGTTTTTGGCTTGTACTATGGTGGGACAAGGCGAGAATGCAAGATCAAAGGATTTTTTATATCGATTTAAGCAAAAGATTTTTGTGTTCTTGTATAAAACAAGTGCATTTGATTATAACGTATATCATAATCTAATCTACCTTATCTGTTCTTGACTTGCGAATGTCAGTCTGAGACAATAAAGGATATTTTAAGGTTTATAAATAGTTTTTAATTTCCATGGTTAACTTAGAAGTGCTCCTATAGGAATACCATAATAGTTTAAATAACATACGGTGTGTAGTTGTCTCTTCGATTATGCGATATGGTCAATGCTTTCTTTATATCTTTCTTGTAAAAATTTTTTGGATGAGTTTTCCATGTACGACTACGCGAGATACGTACAGTACGTTTTATTTATTGTGATTATGACTTCGTTAATAGCAGATATGGAGCTGCTATACAAGAGAACTTGAATTACTTGAATTCTCTCATTTATTAGAAAGTGTTCTTTCCTCAGTAGATCTGCGTACTTTGTAAGTTCATTTACTTTTGAAAAGATTTTGTGTAAAGTGATTATAAATCTGACAGAGATTGTAAGTATCTGCGTATATTAGTACTCACACCTACAGCAGGAAGCACTCGTATTGACATGAAATATAGTAAAATGTAAGCTGTATAGTAAGCTGTGGTTAGTGGAGCCATTATCATATACTGGATTTAATGGACTTGAATGCTTGTTTTAAACTTACAAATGATTTTGCCTTTTCACTTAATTGCTATAGAGAAAACATATATTGGCATACACAAAGTACCAGTTCTACTGCAGTGCAAAGGTGCAGAACTTATATTCCAGAAATAATTATTACTATAAGGCAGGGGTTCCTATCTTTTTTTTGACAAAGGACCACTATAATATTTTCATTTTTAGTTGAGATGTCAAAGTTTAAGATAATAAACTGCATGATTATTTTAGTATGATTTATGCATCTTTTGTTTAATGTATTAATGAATTGTATAAGTGCATAGGTACATTTTATAGGCTATAAACAAGGTATATAATTATTTAGAAATTTTTTCTGCTCATTTTCTAATAAGTAAGGTCTCAGTTGACAAACTACAATTTGACACATAACTTGTAGTTTGTCTACCATCTTGCGGATCACCGATTGGGAACCACTGCCATAAGGTGTTGTATATATATTAAAAATAAATATTAATTTGTTTTGTTTCTTTTATGGAATTTAATGATTATTTATTGCTCACAACAAAGTTTCATTATGAAATTGTGCTCTTTGACATATACAGGACTGTTTTTTTAATGAAATACTTATACTGTTAAATTCCATTCATCTGCAATGACGTTAAAGAAATTTGGAAAATTTTGAATGGAAAGTTTTAATACGTCCGCCATATGGATGGAACATTGGCACCGTAAAACCAACATACCAGAAAAGTTATTTAAATGTTTACGTAGCATTTATTTACATTTTAAATATTGATACATCCGGTAAAATATATAATATAATAATAAAACGAAATATATACCTACGTATATTGGAAGATTTTGATCTGATTATTTACTTAGTCGTGCAAAGGAAGAAAGTCATTAAATTTATTCCAAAATGTTTTGATTTGTTTTTATAAACATTTTCACAGAAGTAAAAAACTGTGTGAATTGGTAAAATTAAAAGCCGAATTATCAAAACAAAATATCAATTCAATTATTGAAATTGTAAAATAACAGATGTTATTTTCGCACATTGCAGCCATTCAAACTGAACATTAAAAAGATATTTGCAAGGAAAAAATTACTTTCAAGTAGTTTTCCTACTTAAACAAAATCGATGCCTTGCAATAAATAATTTTTTGGTATAAATTAATAAATTAAAAACAAATATATAAATTTAAAGATTGTTTAATATTATAGACAGTTTACAAGTGAGAAATATGCGATTAATTCAGTTTAAAATATTTATATTAAATGATAAGAAACCATAACACATATTTAATTATTTAAATAAATAAATATTTACCTACAACGAAAATCCTACTTGAGAGAAGACTGATATTTTGAATAATTTTATATACATTTCTACAATTTTGATTTACTTAACTTTTAATGAAAATCCACAATATGGTGAGAGAATAATTAAAAAAATATATAAAAAAAAAGAATAGCTAAATACTGAAAAAAATTTGAAGTCAATTAAGCACCACAGAGTTTATTAGGTTCATGAATTTTTTTCCGAAATAAGTATTTTCAACAAGTTTTGCAATCTTATTAGTCACTTTTTGAGTTTTTGCATAAAAATCGCTGTATGTTTACATTTACTGAAGAAAATGTATGATAACAGATTTTTAATGTCGCATAAATGAGATACAAATGCCTTAAGGATCTAAAAAAAATGTGGTCCGAGGACGAAGCGGTCGTTACCAGAGGATGCTGGATCCTCTGAAGAGGACAGCATCCAGGAAGGGGGATAGATCATTTGGCATTACCCATTACCCATTCCTCCTTTTAGTTGTTATAAAATATGTAATTGTTTAATGTTCTTTATAGACATATATTAGTTGTACTGATTGTCGTATATCAAGTATTGAATTTGTGTTTAGAATCCCACATTTATTAGAAAAAAGAATTTAGCTTGTGATCCAGGTGACTGATTAAATTATTATATGTTATCTTTTTGTGATTGCATTTAAGAAAGATAGTAAGTTCCTAACTTTCTTTATCTACCAATTATTCAGAATTATTGCATAGTCTTCAGAAACCAAAAAAATATTGTGATAAACTAATTAAAACACATTTAGACAAACTTTTGTTTTCATATCTATGTAAGTTTTAGGAAAATGATTTTTTTAAACAGCAAACTAAATTAGTGGCAACTACTAGGCTCAACGCTCTTTTCCGCTTGTCCAGAATTGGCATTGCGCACGCATTCATACTAAATCAGGATGTGCCAGTCTCTATCGCTGTTTCAATTGATTATATTTGCTCTAACCCAGACCTTGATTGGGGGTTTGACTTTGTTATACATAGTTGGAAAGACTGGGCTTTAGACGAAGTGGTTTCTTTAAAAATGGTAGACATCTACAAATACGGCTTCAAAACTGATCAACGAATCGACTGTGGTATATTTTCTCTAAAACTGGGTGTTAGTTTTTCGCTTCGACTGTCAAACTACTTGTCTTTCAAGCAGAAGTAATGGCAATTCCATATGCAGTAAGAAGGATCCTAGATTCCTAATACAAAAATCGTAAACTTTTTGGACAGTCAATTTTGCATTAAATCTCTGACAGGCACTACAAGTAATTTAACAATACCGGACTTCTCTTAATTAGTTATCTAGGCATGTTCAACTAATATGGGTTCTTAAATACAGGAATATCTCGCATAACTGTAGGCAGGATGTACTTGAGGAGGCAGATACTCTGGTCCCTGACATTCATTTCTCAGACATTAGTGTCCAACTTGCAATAGCTCAACTAACAATTTAACAAATATTTCTAAATATAACCAAGCAAAATTGAGAAACGAATCCTGCCGTTAGATCTCTAGATTGACCTGGAATAAACTGGACAAAAAATGCAACAGTCCACTGCTTTAACTTGAGCGTAACTTGCTCAGCAATAAGTTATCGGTGTTCATTGCGTAATATTCGTAGAAAGGTATACTATGTAACTCGGTCTTCGCTGTAATGACTTTTGTTGTGATTTTGCGGAAAGAACAAAAATGTACTCGATCTCAAGTGTCAGTGTTTATTTTTGGCTGGAAGATGAGCTAAAATATTCGGGGCTTCTTTTCTTACCGACCTGGCCCAGCAATGATCCTGCAAAATTAGGGACTTAGCCAAGTTTATAGAATTGTAATGTTGGTTCTTTTCTACAACAATGGGAACGTCGTGTGTTTTGGCGTTGCTTGTACATCATTTGTAGTCTGGGTATGAATTTGTAGCGATAGTATTAGTGATACTATTTCGGGCCATTATCGAGCTTCAGGCTGAACCTCCAAATTTATCTATTCTTTCAGCGACATATGTTAAATAGAACTTTTGATCAACGCATTATATATTTATATTAATTTTCTGCTTTTGTTAACCTATTGCTTTCAGAGCTATGTAATATAACAGATTTAATAATTTTTTTAAGCATAAATTTTGCTTTAAGGAACAAAATGCAGTAAAAATTTTATTTTGCAATGGATGTTTATTTGAAATATGGTTTAAAAATTTTTCTTTCCATATTCTGTTAGCTGAAATAACATTTAATGTGTCATAAGTT